GATACCACGCATACATGACCCTTGATTTCTCGTAGTTGATCTAATGCTTTAGGAACCACGGTTAGAGTTTCACGTTCGACTTTCGGTTTCGTGGTGTATTTTCCGGTCTTCTCGTCCCAGTTACAATTATTTGGAAGCACGAGGGGTATAGCGAGCTCATCCTGTTTGGTTGCCATCGCACTTGGTCAGCCTGCACTTGATAATAGTAATAATGTTAACTAAAAGATATGCATAGATGTTGTTCATAACACATGAAAAAAAAAAAAAAGATTTTGGAACCCGGGGGAGGGGGGACTCAGGGGTAAAAGTACCGGGGATACTCGTCAGAAATTTCCTAAAAGACCCCTAAAAGATCCCGGAAGTCTTGAAAAAAAAGCGTGGCTGACTTATTTTTAACCCCTAGGAGATTAAACAACAAATATTGTTAAAATAAATCAGTTCCAATGATAACATCCGCGGGGAAGATCAATATCGATGTGCCCTTTCTCTTCTTTTCCGACATCTAAGAGATTGTAGAAAATGCAAATTTCCAGAAACTCCATAAATTGGCACCCAAAAGATTCCCAATCACGAATTTTTACCCCTAAGTGAACCGAAGAGCATCCCCGGTACTTTTACTCTATCCCGGGGGTTTTGGAAAGTGAGCATTTATTAGCGGGCTAGCTGTGCTAGCCAGCTATAGTTTTACCTTTTGCAATCTGTCGGGTCGCAGTTTCCAGTCTCTCTCGAACCACAGGAAGCCATATCTATTAGTTTGCAGTCTCTCTCGAACTGAAAATTTTCTCAAGAATCCAAAATATGGCGGGTACTTCGCCGACAACAGAGAAAAAAATACTCAAAAACTATCAACAAGAAATACCAAAAGCTTTCTCATTGAAGAATTGAACTAGGATTTTGCATTTGTGAAGTTTCAAGCTTGCTAGTTATCATTTTAAGACGATTTTGCATCGAAAATAGTCTCGCCTTCCTCACCAGTCCAGCTCGATGATTATTCAGTACAGCTTCAACATGAAATCAGCTCAAATACTGGCTTTTTTTCCACATTTATAGACAGCAAAAGGTATTCTTCTGTTTAATTGACAATGTTTTTATTGTTTAAATTCAAAGAAATTGCTTTAATATCATCGGGTTTTTTTATTAGTTAAAAATGACAAAGTACAAGTTTTGAAATTGAGCTTTGTTTTGCTTCAATTTTTAGATTTCTTTTGTACGAAAGAAAGGCTAATAAAAACAAAATTTAAAGAATGCACTCATGCCATCTAAAATGCATTGTTATGTAAATGATAGATGTGATATCGCTAACCCAAGTAAAGAGCTTCCATAAATATTTTTACAAAATACATTGCAAATGTAGGACAATCACTATAGCAAAAAGATTATGGTTGATAGTTGATATAGCTTATGATAAGATTATAGCAGACAGTGAAGGTTAACGATAAGAATTGAACTGCAAAGAAAACTAAGGTATTCCATGGTTACGTCACTTAAGTGAAATGACGTCAAACAAATTACTTTACCCTGATTGGTCTAGATCGATTTCTGTTGCTGCATTACAAATACATTTGAATCGAACCTGGCTTTTTTTTACATTCATGGGTATCGGGTAATAGCCTCGCTTATTGCTGTTCTTTGGCAATGCATAAACCAACTTTCGCCTCAAAAAAAATAAAACACATCAAAAAAAATAAACCCCCCCTTTTTGGGGGTCCAATAAAACGCCTCCATTATTCTGTGTGTGATTAAAATTCAAACCCTTCTTTTCTGTCTTATATTATTGTTATGTTCTGTCGTTAAGGTTACAAATCAAAGCACAAACATAACTTTGTCTCGCGCTATGACCTTAAAGTCCACGCATATTTGGGGCTTTAAATGTTACGCGTCGCTTCATTAACTTCATAGAAATTAGCAACTAAGAAGTCTTCTCAAATTCTACTAGGCTTTTTTACAATGTAAGCGTTTTCTGAAATGTTAAAATCTCTAAATGATAATAATGATAAAAAAAACTTATTAGCTCACGCGATGAATTCATTTGGTGTTAGTCAATTAGTTTACAGTTCTAATTTCTAGAACGCTGTTGGTTTTCTATTGCTAGTTTATTATAGAAAGACATTCTAAACTTTTGCAATTAACGTGGTTTGACAGCTTTGACTTTGTTGAACTTTTGTTTCTTGAATGTTCATATATCAAAACCTTCGAGGTTTACCTTCTGTATTTGCTAGCTGGGTTTGATGTTGGATTTGGTCAACCTTTGGATTAGAATTTGGGATAGAATCTCTTTACAGACCCTAGGCCTAACCAACTTACCTGGATATGGAGCTTCCTTTATGCAATACGCAGCTCTTTAGTTGTCTCACTCGTCTGAAGAAAATTCAAATGCCTGGCGTGTTAAGTATTAGACTGTAAACAAGGGAAGTTCCCGACTTCGATTCCACGAAAAGGAGATCGCATGTGAGCATGCGTGGAACTGATATGATTTAGATAATGGACAATGCTTATAGTATTCGCACAAAAACCAAAAATAGAAACATGGCTCCAATCAGGTTAAACCCGTTTTGCGTCCTTATATGGGCTGCCAATATCTACGTTGAGTGGTAAAGTGCTATTCAAGTTGAGTTTGTAACTTTATCGTTAGGAAAATTATAAAATTCACTTTAAATGTCAATTGATTAGGCTTCTTATAATTCATTCGTAAAATATTAGGCGATTTTCAATGTTTCACTAAGGTACCTCCCGACAATTGGAAAGATTTTACAAAGAGTCGTTCTTAGTGGCATTTCGTCAGCCGAAAACCAAATCATATAACTGATGCCTCATCAAAGATTCATCAGTGAATCATTTTTGATACGTCAATATTTTAAAATACTATTCTAGATTTTTTAATGTCCTTTGAGATATCAAATCCCAATCAATCCCACTCCCATTCAATGTTCTGGTTCCCATTCCCAGTAGGCAAAAATCCCAGTCTCAGTCCAATTTTAACCGTTCAGGATCCTCAGGATTCATTAAATTGTGTTATTATTTCTTTATTGCATTTCAAAATCCAAATAAAATGAGAATTAAACATCTAAAGTCACATGACTATTAAGGAATCATCTGAAATTAAAGCCTCTTTTTCTTGTGAGGTTTGTCTTGACTTGTTGTCCAAGTCAGAGAATGAGGCAGCCATTGTCGGGGCTTTTTGGTCTTTGGAGTGTAGCAATCAGGTTGTCCATTTGTTCTCGCTGAAGTTGTATTTCTCTATCTCTACTCTCTAGCGACGATTTCATCATGTCAATCATGTCTTCCATGGTGTTCTGACGAGCCAAGGCAGCTTCTCTGTCTTTTCTTTGCTCTTCAAAGTTAGCCTCCATCATGTTTGTTAGCTGTTCGCGCTGGTCTTTCAAGTTCTTCTCAAAAAGCTCTTGCAGTCTGGCTTTCTCTTCTTGTTGCTTTTGACGAAGGACCTCCATCTTTGAAAAAGTATTCATTATAAATAAACACTGTTGGTATTTAATATTAGATTTTAAACAGTCTTTCTTAGAGCATTTCTAAAGTAGTCTCCTGTGCAGCTGCTTATAGTCGCGCACAATTTCATCTCAGTTAAAAAGCGCGCAGCTCAAAGTACCGGCTGCGTTGGAGGCTATAGGGCACATTTAGTGCTCCTCTCATGTACTTGACAATA